CTGAACGCCGCCTGATCCCTGGCTGGGTTCGCTTCCCAGGAGGCTGCCTGATCCCTGGCTGGGTTCGCTTCCCAGGAGGCTGCCTGATCCCTGGCTGGGTTCGCTTCCCAGGAGGCATGAGGAGGAGAGGCTGCCTGACAGAGCAGTGAAACTCTGGCGTTGAGCGGCGCGGCTGTTGGTGGCAGATAGGCTGTTTCTGGACTGCTGCCAGTTGAATGTTTCTCTGAACAAAAGTAGGACGGTCTGTGGACACGACTGCCAAAGGACTAGGAGGAGTGAAGGTAGGCATCGGAACAAAGAGCCTGAAACAAGCAGCTTCTTCTGAGCTCTGAGATTTAGTTTGATTCAGAGCCTTTGTCCTCACATGTCCTCACATGTCCTCACATGTCCTCACATGTCCTCACATGTCCTCACATGTCCTCGCATGTCCAGACAAACCTAATGTGCTTAGAGACAAGGCGACCCATTCAACCAGAACCCTGCATTTCTCCAGGCTCAGCAGACGATGGAGAACTTTGCTGGTCCAGGTTCCTATGAACACGTAGAAGAAGGAAAACAGGAAGGATGTCTGAAGGCGGTTTAGAGGCGATTCTGGTGGAACCGACCCAGACCTTCACCATCTTTGATCGGGATTCATTTCTGTTCGCTTTAGATTCAGCAGTGGAGTGAAAACAACTCAACCTCCTGAAGAAAAACTAAAAACAGGAGGAACTGAAGGATCGATATTTTCTGTGGAATAGAAAACTAATAAAGCTGCATAGATGTGGTGTCGGTGCTGATCAATGGTTGGACGTCTAACCTAACGGATCAGAAATAAATGAATGAATAATAATGTAGATCAGAAGCTTTAGTCTGAGAGAGAGAAAAAGGAGGCAGCTCTGGCTACCAGCAGAACATGGCGAGCAGATCAACCAACCAGAGTCTAGTTAAACCGTCTCTACGATCCGTTCACCGTTAGACTTTCCAAACAGCCGTCTGAGCTCTGGACCAGCTCAGCTTTAGATGCTTCCAGGCGGCGTCTGAAAGCCACACTTGAAATAACGCTGAGTGGGAAAAGCAGCCTTTGTTTGGACAGCTGGCAGCTCCCAGAGCTCCATGGCCTGCAGAGCTCCATGGAGGGCGGCCATGTCTGACCCCACTTAGCTCCTTCACTGGTGATCCACAGCTCACCATGATAATGGGCATCCATGGTGTGGATCTTTGTTTGCTGCCTCCTCCTCTCTGTCCCTCCTTCCATCAATGCTCTCTCTGGTTCTTCTAGAACCTTCCTTGAGAGACGACGATGAATGGTTTCTACCTTTTAGCAAAGTGGTTATTTGGGGTCTTTTAGCTAAAATGATCGTCTTTGTGTCGTTCATTCAGGCTTCAGCTTTGCTTCTGCTTCAGTCCAGCAGCATCTGAACAGAAGAGTCTGATAATTTCTACTGACACTAATGAACGCTTGCTGTCTTATTGAAGGACTGATCTCCACTGGACTAGAACAGCCACCTGCTGGAGGTTTCTTCCTGTTCAAAGGGAGTTTTTCCTCTCCACTGTCGCTACAAGCATGCTTAGTGTGAGGGATTGCTGAAGAGTCAATGAGTCGATGCAATCAGCTGGTTTTCCTTAGATAGAAAACTTTGAATCAATCTGGCTGGATGATCTGGTTGAACTGGATCTATAAAGTGACCTGAGATGACATGATGTGAATTGGAGCTATAGAAATAAACTGAATAGAATTGAATAGATATTTGTATTATAGTGTGCTTGGAGGTGAGCAGGAAGGCAGGGCTTTACAGGCCTCAGGATCTGAGATGAAGTGGAGATTGGTCAGCTTTGCACTGTGCCGCTGAAGCCATGCGGTTTTCTCTGAGTCTCTGCTGACTGAGTCATCGGTCCGTCTTCAAAGTCTCGCCGTCCCAGATGGTTTTCGGCGCTGCCCTGATTCTAATGTGCAACAGAAAGGAGTGAGGCTGGGGGCTGCCCGCCGTAGGACAGCCAACTGATGAACATGTGCTGGATTCTCTGACCTCCCACAGAGGAATGCATGAGCCGTAATGTTTTTGGACAAGATGGCAGCCCTTTCAGAGGGCGAGAGGAAACCCAGGGGAAGCCAATGAAGAGCCGACCTCAGAGACGGGGTCATTAGCCTCATACAAGCGTATGAATGGAAGCCACTCACGCTTTGGACACGCAACACGCTTCAGGCTTTCAGACATACAAGGACAAACAGATGTCCGCGTATCACAGCCAACATGCTTCTATTTGCAGCAGAGAAGAAAAAACGGCTTTCCATCCCGTTTGAATGGAAATAAGCAGTAAGCACCCAGCATAGAGCTAAAACAGGCAGACTGTGGAGGGGCCTGCCTTCATTTCTACTAATGAAGGTCTACATTTACCCCTCTGGACCCTTTGCTCAGCCTCCCCGCTTGGTTGAGAGTTTTCTTTAATATTTTCCTTTTAGAGAATCTTATTTTCTAGCTGAACTAGATCTACGTGGTTTCCGCATGTCTGAGGGGGCAGCAGATGAGGACAGTCATTACACATGCTACTGTTCAACATTCAATAAGTCCAGACACCTTCACATTTAAGCCTGTCTGTGGTTTGAATGGGAAGAAAGGAATAGCCGGGATGGTGGTCGTCATGGAAACCGTCCTGCCATGCCAGCAGGTTACCTGTCACCAGGTGTTGGTTCCATGCTAGCATGTTAGTCGATCCGTCTGTGTAGCATTACACCAGCAGGCAGACCGTTAGCCTTAATGAGAGGAAGGAAGTAGAACTATGTGCTGTTGGACAGGAGCAGAGCTAGACTGGAACGGTTGGGGGGCCACGGCCCCCGGGGGTCCCACAAAGTCTCATTTTTTTCCACCTGGAAATCTAAAGTTCATATTTTGAACCTAAAGAGGAGTTTTATGTTTGTAATTGTTCTTCTCTGTTTCTCATCTTCCTCATCCTCTGGTTATTAAGGCTGGTAAAAACCTAAAGGTGTGCATTACTGCCCCCGTCTGGTGGGGGATGGCTTCACAGCTATCATAGTTTATAGCCTGCTATAAAAGGTCTGCTCTCTAAGTTCAATGTCTCTGTTATGCTGAACTTTTGTTGATGTAGTTGAAGTTTATTCTCATAAATCCTCTGCTGATGTTCCTGAAATCTTCCCATGTTCTGTATAGATTATTATCCAGGCCATTTATTTCACAACTCTAGATTTCTATTGTAGAAGAATCCTAATTCCAATGTCTTACATTCGTTAAGGAACAACAGAGGGAGAAACTTCTGAATTTAAGCAGTTTGTCTTTTTCTTCATGATTGAGAATCTGAAAACTTTAAGTAAAACTGCGACATCCTGTGTTTCATCTGAGGCCCCGGTCTACCCGGACTGGGTCCTCGGAGGACTTGGTCTACCCGGACTGGATCCTCCAAGGACCCGATCTACCTGGACTGGATCCTCCAAGGACCCGATATATCTG